ATGTGAAATTTCTGAGTTCAAATAAAAATATTCAGTGGTTTGAGATCCAGAATAGGGCAATTGCTCCCTTTTGGTTTGGGAACCGTGAACAGGTTGGAGTAAAACACATGAAACGGTTCTGTCACAGGAAATAGACCAATTACATCTTTATTCAGGAGGCAACATGGAGTAATCAGTGATGGCTGAAGGTGAGAAACCAAAGAGGGGTCAAGGAGGGAAACTCCAGATTGTAATCCTTGTAAACCACCTTCTGCGCCAAACATCTGAGATGCAAGTTGTCCACGTGTCTGCAAAGATTAACGAATGGCCCCCCGCTTTGGAAAGTGGGGCGCTCCTTCATGCAAAGGAAGGTTTACCAGAGTGTTTGGCTGACTTTGTAGCTGGACAGAGAGCCAAGCTTCGGCGGGGGAGTCTGGAGGTGGATTGTGCAGAGTTAAGAAACAGTGCGGATTTGTCATAACTGCCAGCAAGGGATGAGCGTTTGCACTGTGTCTGTGCCTTAGACTTCTTCGGCTGAGAAAATGGGTGCTCTTACAATCAGTAGCATCCTTTATGATGACATCCAGAGTAGATCTGAAGAAGTGTTGTCGTTCTAATGCCATGCACATTAGATATTTTTGAGATGCAAGTTTAGTAATCCAACCCTCTAGGCAAAGTGTCCTCCACATGTGTACTGATAGGATACCCATGTGGGAGATGGGCTGCTGGAAGGTTACCTTCTCATCATAACTGTAGCTTAGATCTACAATCCTTGGTCAATTTTTCTTTGACCAAGGACTTAACAGCAGCCAGATCCCTGTTAATGGACTTTGCCCAATCAGTCATGGTTTGGCAAAGTAAGGTCATAGCCATGATGGGTGAAGAGAGGGGCCTGTCCTTAAGAACAGAGCTCTAGAGAGGGATACCAGCTATTTATGGGTTGGGTCCTTATAGACAGGAGTCATCCTTCACTGGAATTGCTGGTCACTTTGTTAAGGCAGGATATTGTGGGATCCATAGTGGGGACAGACCACTTTTTTAACAAAGTACCCTTCAAACAGGTATAAGGCTCATAACTACTTGAAGGCAAAAGGTACCTTGTCAGGGTGACATGGAACAGCAGGTGCACCAAGAAAGTCTGATGTCTTGGGGGCACTAAAACACCAAGACAGGGAACATCAGCTGTAGAAGCAGCAGGCTGATCCTCTACTTTTAATGTGCTGTACACTGCATGAATAACAAACAAAACAAACACCTTGATTGGCAGTAATTGAAGAAGAAGAGGACTTCTCTGGGGTAGCTTACTCACTAAGGACTAGGGATGAGCCGAACACCGCCCTTTTTGGTTCGAATTCGAACTCAAATTCAATGCAAGTCTATGGGGGTAGAACTTTGAAAATCAAATGTACCCTTTTTTAAGCCTTATATGCAATTGATTGGCCATAAAAGGTGTATGGACATTTGGGTACTGCCCTGGGACATGAATCCATTAAAAAAACACTTTAAAAAAATACAGTTTTTAAAGGAGCAGTGATTTTAACATCACTTAAAGGGTAACAATAAAAAAATCCCTTTAAATAACGTGCCTGGGGGGGACCCTTAAACTGCCTGTAAAGTGGCGCATCTGAACGATGTATAGAACCTGCTGCAGCAAAACTGACATTTGTAAAGAAAAAAAATTTAGACAAATGTCTAGCTCACTGATATAACACAACTGACAGATCATCAATGTGGGAATTCATGTAAGATTAAATCTGTGGTACCAGATGAACACTAAAAGAGTGCATGAGCCCAACACTAGACATGCACTCTGTTGCCATATAAATAGAATGTGAAAAGTGATGCATTTCAAGCACAAAAAATAAATGTCCTAGCACTCTATTACAACATGGACTGCCAGATCGATAACGCCCCTTAGGAAATCATGTAAGAGATGAAACCTTGTGGTACAAAACTAATACCCCAACACCAGATAAGATAAATAAGCTGTGAAGAATGATGTATAGAAAGCACAAGACATACATAATCCTAAACCTCTATAGTAGTGTACAGAAGCTACACAAAAGGTTTATCATCATGGTGCAGCTCAGAGAATACACAAGTACCACACATGACCTACAAAGGACTTGGTGCTATATAAACTGGTTGCCACCACTGACACTTTGCAAGTGCTAGACAAACACTAAACCTCTGCATCAACATAGACATTTCCATCATTATTAATAGGAAGTCATGTAAGAGGTTTTGAACACTGTGATACAAGACACACACTAAGTACAATAACCTGTACAGATTTAACTGTTGCAACACAAACTGGCTGCAATACTGCACAAAAATAAGCAATAGTATAAGTATAAGGCATAACCCATGCCTGTGTAAGGCTAAAGTGTTGTAACATTTATGAAGACATACATTCAAACATAAATGCCCTGGAGGAATTGATGTAGACAAAACAAAATGAGTCTGAGTTGTAGCATACTAACAGCTTGGTCACTGGTCAGTAACCTGTAATATATCCCACGCTTAGAAGAAATCAATCTTTTTGATACGGGGCTGAGAAAAACTGCAAGTACCGTTCTTTGCAGCTAACAGTTGGCTTTAAGATACAAAAGTCTGGGCGACTGTAGATCACCTGATCACTTGTATGCAGCTTTACAGTGTACCCTCTTCATCGCCGCCAGGTATCCCAGGCTCCATTGTCGCCCATGCAGGCCCAAGACCAGTACAAGGAGTGTCAGCAGCTGGATTGGAGGCTGATCTTCCCTCCATTCACTAAAATCATCAGCAACAATGTGATACAGCTTATGCCACACATATCACCGTGCACATCAGAGTGAGAGAGATAATTGATGAGCGGTAAAGGCAACTAAAGCATTGATTATGGGCGACTGTCGCGCGTTTTTTAAAACTTGATATGTTTGGGTTCTGTTGGGTAAATAGATACCAATCTTTTATATTTTACCAAAAAAAAAAAATAGGTATTATTGTCTATGTACACTATTAAGTTTAGTGTATGTTTTCCTAAAAATGTCGATTTGATAAACATTTGCGCAAATATGCAACTTAAATAATTGCAACTAGCTTTTTTTTTTATTCTACAGAGCCTATGCTTTCAGAAGATGAATAATTGTTTGGGGGTCTTAAACAGTTTTCTAGCCACAAAATTCAGATTTAAACATGTGCGACTCAGCCATCGCACTTCACAGTGATAAACAAGATCACCGTACCCAGACTCAAGATCATATTCAGTTACTCCTTAAACTGGCAGTTAAACCCTCATCTTTTGCCAAAATGTATGCATGACACTACTGTTGACATCACATTGTTGAGCCGCAACTACTGTGCACAGAGACTTTCTTGGTGTATGATGCAGTGGCATACAATCAAATCACTTGAATCAAGACTGAGATGATTCAGTTCTTTATTGACAAATGCAATTAAGCCATTTTGTGAGCCAAAGTTAAGGTCACTTAACTTTTCAAATGTTAGCTCAAGTTTTTTCATTGATAAAACAAGTTTCAAATAAGACCTCACCTCTTGTAGTGCCATGCATAGCTTCCAGTGACAGCAGTTCCTCTCGCATGTCAACCTCTACAGTTATCCCATGAATGCAAACAGCCAGTTGGGCAGTATTTATATTCATTGTCTCGTCACTGAATAACAAATAACGTTATCTCCGTCACAAGGCCTAGTGAAAGCAGCTTATTATGATTCCAAACTCCGCTGAAGAGCATTGATTTTATCAAGATGCATTTGCCCTCCCAATTCATTGAGTATAGCATGTTTTGAGCTGTAATGACGCTCCAGATTGGCTTTTTTTCATTACTGCTAACGCATCGCCACAAACAAGACACACAAGATTGCCTTTGACTTCCAACAAAAAAAATAATCATCTGTCCATTCCTCTTGGAATGATTGACACTTTGCAGCAACTTTTCTTTTCTTTGTAGTCGCCATTTGCAGGATGTCACACCACTTAAGTTTTAATAACTATCCAGTGTGTGTGTTGCCAGCGATGCAATTATTTTGCTTTGATCGCTGTTCTAATCTTGCATCCTAGATTTGGTGAGGTCATATTACTCCCTTCCTGTGTGTGAAGCTCCTTGGGCCTCTCACCCATTTTCTCTGTGTTCAGCTCCTCAGACCATCTCTCTCCTGCCTTCTATGTGCAGCTCAGACCATTTCACCTGTCTTCCCGCACCTCTTATCGCTCTAGATTATACGGAGTTTGGTAAATTACCACTTACCAGCAATAACTAAATGCTATCTCCTCATCCGGCTCCTTCACCCGTGCTAGTGCTGCTGTGTCCGACGGACTTCAAGAGGAGAGGGGCCACCCATATGTGTCCTAGTGTGTTGCAAGCCGGGAGGGGTTGCCTGAATGTGTCTGACGACTCAGAAGGGGAGGGGCAGGCTGAAGTATCCGATGCCTCAGGAGGAGAAGGGAGGGGTGGGCCAAAGTAGCGAAAGCTTCAAGAGGGGTGGGCCGAATGTGTCAGACGCTGCAGATGGGGAGGGGCGGACCAACCCTTCCAGTCTACAGTGTCACACTAGCAAGCGGTGGGGAGCAGACTCGCGATCTACCAGCGTTAGCTTGGCGAACTACTGGTAGATCGCGATCGACCTAATGGGGACCCGTCGTAATTTATTGCATTTCGAGTCCCGTCTGTGGTTGCCTTGGCAGGACCAGACCAAAATTATTTTGCAGGCCTTATGCAGCCCACAGCTGGATGTTCCCCAACCCTGGTTTATAACATTATGACAAGTACAGCCACTTGTTAGAGTATGCAGGAGTTTTAGCAGACTATATACAGATTATAATGCAAAAGGTGGTTTTGTAATACAAAAAAGTGTTGTTTTTTTTAATTTAACTTACAACATTGTTTCTGCATGTAAAGCTCAGATACTAAACAATATCTCAAAAGAGAATCAACATTTTTCAAGTGAGGAAAATCCAAATAGCCGGCAAACAAAACCTGCAATGCGTAAAGGAAAAGAAGATCTGTATAATACGGATTCTGTACTGCTGTTAGGTCCAGTGCTTCTTCAGGTGTGCCTTTAACTGAGGAATAGTGGCTTGTGGAACTTTGCACACATTACACTGAAGAGAAGATTTAAGGAGCTCCGATGCTCCATCTTTTACCTCCACTCTTCCTTTTAGTTTTATCATGTCAATTACATCTAAAAATAAATAATGAAAAACACAATAATTACAAACTAGTATTAAAGACAAGGCAGTGAAATAATTAAGGACATGTCAAACGCATAATTTACAGGCAAACAAAAAGAAAAAAAAATCTAAAATACATTGTTTTGAAATAATTATTTTTACAAAATCAGTCAAATTAATAAATGCATTGCTTATAATCTGCTTGTAGTACTATAGCAATTTATACTTTTTTTTTCTATTTTGAACCATGGATATTTTTGGTCACTGCTAAAAATGAACACTACCTTGTCTTGGAAGATGCGTACAGTTGCAGAAAACTAAGGAAACAACGATGTCTAGCACCATTGTGACATGCTTCCTGTTAAGTGCAGAGATCGGATTATTGGTCTACTACCCAAGATCTTTTCGCTTGTTAGAGGTGCCTATTTTTTCTGCTGTGCCCATAAACAGTTCACCTTTCCTCCAAACCTATCAAGGCAATCACAGCAATGATATGCTAGGTGTCTAAAATGTATGAGCCCATTTCAAGGGAACATGCCAAACATTTTACATTTTTAAAAGTGAAAGTCCTGTCTATATTTAGACACCAAAAGGCCTTGATATTAACCAGCAAATCCTCCTTTGCAAGCCCCTTATACTAATTTCACATTGTTGCAGCCAAACTTCAAAGCAGAGGCTTGCAAGTTGGTATTCCCCTGTCCAAAAGGAGATTCTCAGGGGCCAATATGGGCACACCCATTACGTAGCAGAATAGCAGATAGCAAAGCTTAGCCCTGCAGTAATTTGTGGACCTGGAGACAAACTTATGCAGTTTGTTGTTGAACCCGGATCCCAGGAGGTTCACATACGGCGTACCCCATCTGTGACACGGGTCCTGAAAAATGTCTGGGTGTAAGACCAGTACCCCAGGTCCAGACGTTGCCAGCTGAGGAAGCCTGTCTGCCTGCCAACTGTCCATGTCTGGGATGCAAATGGCAGACAAGGCTGGAAAGTGCTATTCTTTCCAGGACAGGAAAGCTCCACGATGTTGTTTGGGAGACGGAACTCCACCATGTTCTCTGCACCGACAAGGTGCCCAGCAATCCTCCCAAGCCCACCAGGTTTAGAAATTAAACAAACCATTGTAATGTCTAGGCACTCAAAGCCAAATTGTCTGATAGAGCCTGCACCAACTGTTTCCTAAACGGGAGATTGTCGATGTATCCAGCAATGGAGAGGCCAAAAGAGCGCAGCAGTGCTAGTACTGGGGCCAACACCTTGGTAGTGTAGGGGTGCCACAACAAAGCATAGGAAATCTTGATGCGCTGGAAAGGTGAGGACATGTTCATACACGTCCTTGATGTCCACCAAAAGGTAGAAAGTCTCCCTGGTGAAGGGAAGCAATGACAGACCTGGTGGATTCCATATGATATTTCTGATCCTAAATGAATACATTTAGTTCTCTTAGATCCAAGATGGAGTGGATGCCCCCCTTTGGGTTTGGGAAAGATGAACAGGTTGGAGTAAAACCTCAGAAAACATTTTGCCAGAGAACCTGGGGCAAAAACACCATGATCCTGAAGACCCAAGAGGACTTGATGGAGATCTGCCAATTTGTGCAGACACAGTAAGTTTAGAAAGACATGAGAAACCAAGGGGGAGGCAGGAAGCAAAATTCCAGCTTGCATCTATAGAAACCACCTCTCACACCAAGGTGTCTGGGTTGCAAGTCTCAGCAAAGGTTAGCAAACATCTCCCAACTGTAGAAAGTATTGCATTCTCTTCCTTAGGCTTCTTCTGCTGAGGAAGATGGGAACTCTTTTCAATTGATGACGATGGCCTACAATATATTGGTCGCACTACCCGCAAGTTAGCCATTCGTGTAAGAGAACACATATACAACATCAAACGTGGTTTCAAAGATCACTCAGTCTCTCTACATTTTAAAAAATGTCATAAGAACCCCGCAGGCTTACAATTTCGGGGTATCGAACGAGCTAAGAAAAATTGGAGGGGAGGGAACTGGAAAAGAAGTTTGGCCAAAAAGGAATCCGAGTGGATCTTTAGAGCTAAAACATTAGTCCCCACAGGTCTCAACATAGGTTTCGACCTGAACTGTTTTATTGCGGATACATACATTTTCAGTCTGAATTTTAATGGAGGGAGTATGATATCTGCTTTTATAGCTTCAGTTTACATAAATCTTGATGCCATAAAAAAGGGGGAGGAGTTCCTCATCGAAACAGGGACCATCTGGGATTTGATATGGGCGGTCATAGATATAATCTGCCATATAGGTTGTGATTTATCCACCTTATGTGATGGGTGGCTCTTTCACAATTTTACCCCCTCTTTCACATCATTCCTTTGCTGTTTTTTCAGTTGTTTTTTTTTTTCCTCCCCAAGGGGTTAATCAATACCCTCACTCTTGCCATCGCATGGGAAAGTGAACTTACCTTTTAATGCACTAGGAAAAATAGGTTAGTCTTTTACAAGTTACTCTATAACCAAAAAACACAGCAAATAAAATAAAAAAAGACAACCCTTACCTTTAGAATCTAAAAAGTATTCTGTAGTGAAAGAATTCCAGTGTTTCTTGTTTTTCATACAAGGGGAATCGAAATCTTGACTTATGACATGCAAATGAATGTGGCTATTTGGAATAAAAATAAATGATTACTTACATATGCAAAGAAAATGTTCTGGCAAAAAAAAAAAAAAAAAAAAAATACGAAAAAGGTTTAAACTATGGCATGGTACCCGAGCCTAAACTTTGCTCTACTAAGAGATGAATGGTCCTGTATAATATTCTCCCCAACTGCATGCATGTGGTGCAACAACTCCAAATGTTCTGACCGAAGTGCTTTCAGACTGGAGATGGATTGCCATGGTAAAACCAGCCAGTGGTAGCGTGCCTTAGGGTATTTGTCCTTAATCACCACTAGTTTATCATCTTTGAAGACCTGTATTAAAACAGGAAGACTATTTAAGCTTACTCAAAACAATGTGATTTTCATAGATCATAGAAAGACCTTAAAATTAAAAAGCAACAAAGAAAATAAAAATACCCACATCTGCAGTCACTGACTTCGCTGGAGCATTTACAGTGTACAGTGAACTAAAACACTTTTTAAAAATGTTTATTTATAAAGAAAGGATTTTGGGGGTGTTTTTTCCTGACAATCCCCTTACAAAAAGGATACACTGACCGATGGGGTTTTTGTTTTTTTATTACAGAAGAGACTCTACACTGTATGTGTCGCCTATCCTAACTGCTCATAATTGTCATAACTGATTTGGTCTATTAGATCCACCTCTGCACTACTTTAAAGCTAAACAAGCACAGATCGTTCTAGCTTCTTTCCTGACTGATTGTCCTCCACTCTCCCTGCTGACACTCTCCTTGGACGTCCCGGGTGCCCGTCAGGATAGCAGAGCTCGGGATACATGGCAGAATAGGCTACTTTAATACAATTAACACAAAAAAAAAAAGTGCGTTACAACAACGTGAAAAGGCCTTTAACGTTGCAACTTCAAAAGGTTTTCACCTTGTTAATTAGATAGAATTGCCTCCTTTTTGTGTGAAACAAAGATGAGTGGTGGTAATGTTGCTAGTACTTCTGGTGCTCCTGCCCCGGTGCCTGTGGATCCGGCATCAGGGCCCCAATCCTCCCCGCCAGTGTCTGCCTGCCTACATGCCTAGGATTACCAACAGCAAGGCCCGGGTCTGCCCCCTCTTCAGTCGCATGGTGGAAGTATGTCACTACCCGGAGGACGCAGCGGCGGCAAAGACACCCGCACTTCCCCAGATCCCTGCACAAGCTACAAACTTTATGGGGGGGGAAGCGACCATGGCACCACTCTACTGGAACACTCCATTGGACAAGCCACTGCACCCCAAGCGCCCTACAAAAAACAGCCTTGACGGCTGGAGGTAAGGGAGGACTCTTTCGGAGTCGTAATGCCGCAGAGATGGTTGCTTCCCCTCCAGTACAGAAGAAACCTCAGGAAAAAGTAAAGCTGGGAAGAGAAGGTCCCTGGCTAGAAAGGACCGACCAGGAGAAGCACAGGTATACAGCTCCTCCAGGTCCACTGTCCCTGGAGACTTAGGGAGTATACCTGGGAAGCCCCTGCTACTAGCATGAAAGGCTGGGAAACAAATAAACCGTACGATATTCCTGCTGAGCCTGAGAAAACACAACACTGAGGTGACTAGACATGATGCCCTTTTTATTTAATGTGGATGATGTGTTTCCTGTTGTAAGCTGACAACAAAGAACAAAAACACAGCGCTCTCGTGAAAGTGTGGGGCTTGTGTTGGTGTGGTACTGTTGTAAGCGGAACCACTATTTCTCATCTGCTGCCCTGGAGGATGACTTGGGAAATCTGCCATACCTTTAAGAAATAAGTGCATCTCAGAACTTTGTTAACTGCCACACTTGGATGCCCAGAAATACAGATGCACAGGACTGTAAACCTCTCCCAGAAACTTTGCTAAACGAGAGGAAGCCTGATTTGCATCTGATTGTGTTGCTGATTTGCTTGATAAAATGTCCCCAAATGTGTACTGTGACAAGTTTTTCAAATTATTGCTTAGTTATACATCAATCTATGAATATCACATCTTTAAATGCCTCCCTCCATAAATAAGAAAATAAAGCAGCACATCAGCACAGGTCTTTGCTCCAGTATCTTACTTTGCTTCAGATTTAATATTTCATTCACTATGCACTTGTCAAATATGATAACTAATTAGGAGTATTCAATGAAAATACATGATCGTTTCTTTTTCATATGTACCTGCATCTTGGGATCCTGCATAGAAACTTTTAGCCCTTGACTCCAGTGTCCTTTGTTTTCAGACTACAGAGGGGGGGAAAAAAAGTATAGAATCATCTTAAACTACATACATGTTATATAGTAACGAAAACACTAGGCAAAGCAAGTTACAATGAAGTTACCAGTAAAAAGACATGTTCTATGACATACCTGAGAAGCACATTGTTGCTGCTCAGCTGAGGTATCATCTCTGTTCTTGTTACTACCAAGTAGATCATTAGATTGCAGTTTTGAGCACTTTGTGTCTTTGCTCTTATTTAGAGAATTCTCGTGTGGCCTCTTGTTGGTGCACTTCGTCTGTTGGTCTCTAGAATCAGACTGGCCTGGTTCTTTTACAAATTCTACAGTGTAAGGATACAGCTTATTTACCACATGTAAGACATGGCCAGGCTTCAGCTTTACTTCTTGATCTTTCTTAATGTCCACACTGTCAATACTGGTCGGGTTAGTTCCTAGCTAAAAGACAGGGACATAAAATATGTTAAATAAACCAGGAACAGCACCTAATTTAAAGGTTTTCATGATCATACATAGACAGACAATGTCAGATTTGTATTTTTGTAAGGTAATCATCATTGCTCTGTTCTATAACCCCAGAAAGGATGTTATGGTAAATTTTCTCCTACACAATATCTGTGTCAGTATATTCTAGAATGAAATAGTATAAAATTGTCATAATTCAGGACTGTCTTCAGGGAAGCTCCCAGCACAGTACAATGCAATACTACAGTAAATTCTTAGCAAACAGAAAGGAACCTAACATTAAAAGGTACTCTTGGACAGGAGATGACAATTGCTTGATCTGGCATACCCCAGGGCAGTCAGCTCATGTTTGCATGAAAACTTTTCATTTATATAGTAACCAAAGCTGCACAAAAGAGTGATTATATGGGGAAGAGGTTGCAATTAACAGTACAATCATATGACTACTTAGCTGTACAACAGCAGGGTTATCGAGCAATACCGCATTGTGTTAGCACTGCAGTTCAAACAGACATTGGTCACTTAAAAAAAAAAAAAAATCCATACCAAATTACTAGCCATGCTGATGTTGAAACAGAATCCAGTGAGACAGCTAAATGCACATTACAAAACATTAGGATTTTTGACTCACTAGTAAAATCAGTTTCTTGGAGTGCAGTAAAGGAAACCGGAAGATTCAGGTATCAGGTGACTGGACACTGGCCAGAGCCGTGAGTACCTCCATATAGCCCCTCCCACTCCCAAAAATCCTCAGGTTTTATTTATATAAAGCAGAGGTCTATTTTGCATAAGGGGTGAAGAGGTAAGAGTGCGGCACCACACCCCTAACAATTACAGTATAACATGTAGTATCAAATGGGGCTTTTTAGGTGCCAGAAACTTCGGGGACTGGAAAGGAGCTCACAAGAAGGTTGTGTACCGATCTCCTGTCACAGAGCAGCCGTGCCAGTCCTGGCCGCACCGGGCACAGCGGATCTCAGGACCGGTGACGGAAGTGACAGCTGCTCCTAATACAAGTGATCAGGCGTCTCTAGAGACGCCCGATCGCATGAATGTAAAGCTCCCGGCCGGCCAAGTACAATGGCTGGCCGGGAAGCTACTTGTCCGGCTCCAGCGTCCTCTTGTCACAGACGAGAGGACGAGCGGATTTTTCAAGCCCTGATCATTGTAATGCCCTCCGCCTCAATCCCGCTGAGTGGACAATAGAAATTCCTCAAGGCAGAAAGGCGTTTATAAGGAAAAACTGATCCCACAGAGTCACCTGAGCATCCACTACAAGGCCCACGGATCCCTGGACCAAGAGACAAACGTGCCCAGCTTGTTGTTGAATCTGAATACCAGGAGATGCAAACCTGGCCTCCCCCACTGTTGGCAAAGTGCCCAAAATACCTCCGGATGCAGAGACCATTTCTCTGATTCAATTTGCTGCTGACTAAAAAAGTTCACCTGCCAACTGCCCACTCCCTAAAATGTGCACAGCGGACAATGTTGGAACATGAGGCTCCAACCAGGCCATAATCAGATCTGCTTTTCGAGTTAGTAGTGAGTGAGTGACTACTAATCACAAGGAAGAGCACACCAGAGAAAGCATTAGTAGCCACAGCAGAGGGAGCACAGAGGACCCACAGAGAGAAGGACATCAGGCCGAGACTCGCTCGCCAGGCTTCTTCCACCCAAACAAAAGGGGCTTAGGAAAAAAAAAACCCCCTTGGCTTCACACTTCAAATCAGGGTCACACCGGTGAGGGTTACACCCCTGCCTTGGATCTAGGTACGGTCCCAACACTGTCACCATGGGACACCATTCTGCTGTGAAGTTGTGAGGTAGTTGCAGTAGCCAGACACAGTGGAGGGACGCTTTATGAATTGCAGAAAAGAACCCCCAAAAAGGTTAAAAAAAAAAAAACCTAGTGAAACTTGAAAACATCTCCCCTTGGTAGACAGAAGACATCAAATTGATAAGCCATGCCAATTGCCTGCTTAACTCAAAAACAGCTGCCAGTCAGCTGTTTAAAATAGGGAACTAAAGTGAATATCTGAAACTCTAAAGCACATGTGTCAAACTCAAGGCCCGGGGGCCGAATCCGGCCTACCAGGCCATTTCCTAGACTTCTACTTTCAGATCTAGGTATTAAGTTATTACTAAAACCAGTGATAATCAAATGCAGAGGCAATTATGATAAAGATTAGATACATTTATATATTCTTACAGATACCTTTGAGGGCAACCATAATGTTGATGCGGCCCATGATTAAATTGAGTTTGACACCCCTGCTCTAAAGCATTAAAAGATTTTTAAGTGACTAATAGTGCTTTTGTTCCTTACATTACTTTGAATTGCTACTGAAGAAAAAAAAATTACAGCTGGTGTCTGAGTAAAGTAGTAAACCAAGTGTCTCACATCTGATTTAAATGTTGGCAAGAGAAAAAAAAAAAAAAAAAAAAAACTTATTTAGGAGACATCAGCACATAGACGAGCAGATCAAAAGCTAGGTGTAAGGCGAGTATCCCTTGCTTACAAATGTGTTTTTCTTGTATGTTTACATCTTGCAATCTAGGATGGGGCTCAGGGGGGCTACCATATATTTGTTGGAAAAACTTAGGTGAAAGGTCAGCTAAAATGTTACAATGTGCACATATTGGTGTCAGGCCTCAATAGGCTGGAATAAGGGTATTACTACCACAATGCTTCCAAAAAGCTATAGCAAATCTGATAGACAGGAAGGTAATCTATGCAGAGAAGGGTTTGAAATTTTACATCCTACAAAACCGCTGTGAAATTTCACCAATCCACCTAGAGCAGTGGTGGCAAACCTTGGCACTCCAGCTGTTTTGGAAGTACAAGTCCCATGAGGCATTGCAAGGCTCTGACAGCAACAGACATAACTCCCAGAGGCAGATGCATGTTGGGATTTGTAGTTTTGGCACAGCTGGAGTGCCAAGGTTCGCCACCACTGACAGAGTAAGGGAGTCTAAATGCCCATAGAATGGTCTAATATAAGTAAATCAAACCAGAAATATTTGTTAGAGGAAAAATATGATCAGAAAAGTGGAAGTGGAAACGCTAACGTGTAACCCATTGATATTTAGATCCACTCAAGTGGCCAATGCCAGCAGCTCCATGTTAAGAGTTAGAAAAAAAATATATACACTAAATTGCCAAAAGTATTGGGACACCCCTCCAAATCATTGGATTTAAGTGTTCCAATCACCTCCATGGCCACAGGTGTATAAAATCAAGCGCCTAGGCACGCAGACTGCTTCTACAAACATTTGTGAAAGAATGGGTCGCTCTCAGGAGCTCAGTGAATTCAATCGTGGTACCGTGATAGGTCGCCACGTGTGCAATAAGTCCAGCCGTGAAATTTCCTTGCTACTAAATATTCCACGGTCAACTGTTCGTGGTATTATAACAAAGTGGAAGCAACTGGGAACAACAGCAACTCGGCCACGAAGTGGTAGGCCATGCAAAATGACAGCGGGGTCAGCGCATGCTGAAGCGCAGTGCACAGAAGTCGCCAATTGTCTGCAGAGTCAATAGCTATAGAGCTCCAAAATTCGTGTGGCCTTCAGATTGACACAACAACAGTGCGTAGAGAGCTTCATGGAATGGGTTTCCGTGGCCGAGCAGTTGCATCCAACCCTTAGATTACCAAGTGCAATGCAAAGCGTCGGATGCAGTGGTGAAAAGCATACCGCCACTGGACTCTAGAGAAGTGGACATTTTCTCTGGAGTGACGAATCACGCCTCTCTGCCTGGCAATCCGATGGAGGAGTCTGGTTTTGGCGGTTGCCAGGAGAACGGTACTTGTCTGACTGCATTGCGCCAAGTGTAAAGTTTTGTTCGAGGGGGGATTATGGTGTGGGGTTATTTTTCAGGGGTTGGGCTGGGCCACTTAGTTCCAGTGAAGGGAACTCTTAAGGCATCAGCATACCAAGACATTTTCAATAATTTCATGTTCCTAACTTTGTGGGAACAGTTTGGGGATGGCCCCTTCCTGTTCCAACATGACTGCGCACCACTGCACAAAGCAAGGTCCATAAATGAGCAAGTTTGGGGTGGAGGAACTTGACTGGCCTGCACAGAGTCCTGACCTCAACCCGATAGAACACCTTTGGGATAATTTAGAGAGGAGACTGCGAACCAGGTCTTCTCATCCAACCTCAGTACCTGGCCTCACAAATGGGCTTCTGGAAGAATGGTCAAACATTCCCACAGATACACTCCTAAACCTTGTGGACAGCCTTCCCAGAAGAGTTGAAGCTGTTATAGCTGCAAAGGGTGGGCCAACTCAATATTGAACCCAACGGACTAAGACTGGGATGCCATTAAAGTTCATGTGCGTGCAAAGGCACGTGTCCCAATACTTTTGGCAATATAGTGTATGTTCTATATATAAGTATTCAATAAATAATAAGAGATCAGAAATAATTGAGGCCAGCAGAACAGCTATATGGGTTTGATGATGATGGCTTACAAGATCTGGACTTTTTGTTTTCTAAAGAATGGGAGGTTGTAGGCCCCCCATTTATGATTTCAAGAAGAAAATGCCTTTGCAGATATTCCCACCTAGGCTTTCTTACGAACATTGTGCAGACCCCTTTTCCAGACTTACAATGCCTCTATAGTGAGAATAATAGGGTTTTTGTACTCCCCATAAAATCCTTTTCTTGGAGCCTATTGAGATACACAGGAACTCCTCACCATCAGATTATACTGCCACCTGCAGATTACCCCTCCTATAACCAGCATGCTTCCGTTTGGAAAGCAAGCAGTACCAACAGCATGATCATAAACACAGCTGGGTGGGATTTGTGTCCCTCAATGAACTTCAAGAGAGGGAATTTTTAAAAACAAAAATTGTATTTGCTTTCCCATCCTTTGAAGGACACAGCAAGTCTTCACCACCGGAACATCCAAAAACAGTCCAACTGAGGGTGGGCCACAGCAAACAACCGCCCACCCCAAAGAGAAAGAAGAATGGCCAATGACCAGAGAGTAATGTCTCAACATAGGAGAGAAACCATCAAACCATAGACTATAAGCGTGAAAAGCTGGTCAATCTGATCCAACCGGAAGGGTGGAACAAAGGACTATTTCCCTACAGGAAAAAAAGCTCCCCTCATGAACTGGGACTAGACAAAGAAATCTAAGAATGGATGTCCTGTTCCTAGTAGAAAGTAGATCAGAGCCACTCTAAGTAGAGAAGGCCATAAGTCTCAACTCACCTGATACTACAGGTTCAAAAGAAACAAAGAAGAAGTCCAGATCTAGCATGACTGCCAGGGCAGACATTCACCTCGCCAAGGCAAAAACTACCAGGGAAGAACCCAGAGGATTCAACCAGTCAGAGGAGCCTACCATACAGCCTGCCATAGGTCAGATGTTCCGATTAGTAAACGCTGAGTGTTTGTAAATAATTGAGGACATGGTATGTTGACTATATCCTCAATTGTGAATGAATGGGAAGTGATCCACATCAACTCCTGTTCATTCATAGTTGTAGTTATAGTATACATACTATGTCCTCATGTTATGAATGAACAGGAACACTCATAGGAGGATTCCTATTTATATCTGGGGATGCAGTAAAAGAGATTGAGGACTCTGTGTCCTCAACCTCTTTCTCTATTTTAAAAAGGGAAATATCAGGGGTCTGTTTAGACCCCCAATATTTCCCTTGAAGCGTTAAAAATAAAAATATTTAATAAAAAATTAATCAAAATATAAAAAGTTTATAAAAAATACAAAATTTAAAAAAATTTAAAAAAAGTTAAAATAAAAAACATTTTCGGTTTCGGCCTGACATTTTTTTTATTTCGGTTTTGAAATTTTCATTTCGGTGCACCTCTAGTTTGAACCCAAGGAGTATAACCAAATAGGGTAAAATACATGGGAAGTTTCCATACAAGGGATGGCAGGGATGGAAGGTAGATTTCCTCCTTGTGTGACAGGATGAAAGACTGTAAACCTGACAGACCTAAGGATCAAGCTCAACACACTGATGGCAGCAAGGAAGATAAACGCAGCCCAAAGGGAAAACATTCTGAAATATCCTGCCTATCCTAGAGCCTTGAAGAGTAACGGGGCTAGAGACACTTCTGACTCCCCATTAGAGTCCTTGCATTAGAGTCCTGCATTAGAGTCCTGCATTAGAGTCCTGCATTAGAGTCCTGCATTAGAGTCCTGCATTAGAGTCCTTGGAGCAAAGAGAGCAGAGATTTAACAGGAAGAAAATTCACCTGGGTTAAACCGAAGCAAGGAGGATTGCCAGGAAGGCCTAACTCTCAAGTCTGCAAAGCAAACAAGGAGGAAAGACCTAAAATACCTTGTTAAGCATGCAGATGTTCCAGGGTTTCATGAACACCTTTTGTATACAACACATTTTGTACATGGAGATCATATCC